GCTCCGGCGCGCCCCACCTTCTTTCGGCCATGGATGGGTTGTGTTTGGCGGTTCTCCGATGGCCTTTGTATTGGATAGAGCCGTGCCTGCTGTGTAGTGCTCAGCCCAAGGAGGACTCGCAGCTTCGACACCGCCCAGCGACTTTCAAGCGGAGGCGGGAGGGCGTACACGGGCGAGGCAGGGAGCGACGCCCACTCGCGTCCCAATTTGCCATCAAAAGGGTGTCTGCATGTCGAGGACACCGCGACACCGCGTAGCCCTGCCTGACGGCCCTCGCCGCAGCACCGCCACCAACGCCCCATCCCGACCCCCTGCCATGTCATGTCATGCAGCGCGCTGCGCGACTCCCGCTTCGCCCCCATCGCCGCGCGCGAGCTGCCGCACCTGACCTGCGGCGTCAGCCTGCTGCGGGAATTTGAGGAGGCACGCGGCTGGGAGGACTGGGAGGTTGGCACCCACGGCCTCATCATTGAATTCACAGACCCCCGCATGAGGTGAGAATGGGATTAGGGATTAGGATTGTTACAGCGTCCCGCTGTCGCCCGCTCCTGGAGCCATCCAGGCTCATGGGATTGTAGAGTGACGCACCAACGTTGTATGACTGAGGTTCAGGTGGCTAGAGAATGGGAATCGTCAGTTGATATGGTGCGCCTGCTGGGCTTCCAGGAGGCGTGTTTCGTGGCACGGCACCCTTGTCAGCGTGGGGCTAGGTGGGGCGGCAGCTGTCGGCGCTCGGCTGCGCGTCGCAGGCGCTCAGCAGCTCGTAACCAGCGGCTGTGCCTTCTCGAACATGACAAATAACAAATGCTTTGTTGTTCTCCGGAGGAGGGCAGGGAGGGTTGGGTCGCCGCGATTCTCCCACCACCAACAGGCCACCGCAACGCGCATCATCATCATGCGGGCGCCGCAGGTGCCGCCGCAGCGCCACGTTTTTGCCGGAGGTGGCGGGGGAGCAGGGCTGGGACAGGCAGCAGACGATAGACTCCCTCATCCGCAAGGCCGGTGGGTGGCAGCGGCAATCCCCAACCATCATGGTTAGCATCATGCTTATGAATCCAGCCATGATTCTAGCCATGACTCAATCGGGGCTTTGCAGTGGGGGGCCTGACGCAGGCGCCAGCCACGCTGCGCGCGCCGAAATGCCTCAGCGTCCCCTGCCAGCCTGGCAACCGCCACAGCCCCCATGACCGCGCCACGAGGGCCACGGCCTGGCTGCGACATCCATGAACCCCGACCCACAATCCCCAAGCCCTGCATGATGCCCAAGCGCTTTATCACCTTTCATGACAACAGCCAGTCCCTGAACCCCCAACGAGCCCAACAACCCCCGAGCTTTCATCCCCAAACTCAATCTGTCGATTCCAATCACAAAACCACAGGCTATGACGGCCGGGTGGACGACGCCCTGCGGCGCTCGCTCAAGGTCACGCGCTACCAGAGCAGCAAGGCCAAGATATCATACCATGACTACGCGGCCCACGGCGGCAGCTGCCGCGACGAGGAGCGCGCGGGCGGCGCGGCCGACGGCGCGCCCTCGGAGGCCGCGACCGTCTACGCGTGACCGGCGGCGGCGGCTCCGGCTGTGGCGCTCGGCTGCTCAATTTGTGGGCCGATCGGGCAGGCTCACCGGTTCCTGCAGCTGCCGAACCCCTCGCACGAAGCCTTGAGCAGCCAGGCTTGCACGCCCCGCTCCACACAACGCACCTTCTGCGCCCGCCTGCACGCATGCAGCCTCGCGCATACATGGTTATGCCCCTACCCGCTCCAGGTCCCGTGCCTGGGCAGCCCCGGCGCGTTCTTCCTTCCCACACGCACACGGACACGCCTCCCTGCGCCTGCCGCCCGCCCGCAGCGCTGCAGCGGCCGACCGGGCCCCGCCGCGCCCGCTCTGCGCCGCACAGCGCCTTCTAACTTGTGACGGTCGTCTCGCAGCGCGCTCTGTTCAGGAGAGTGGCGTCGGTTGCATGCCCTGTATCAACACAACACAACACCCTGTAATGCTCGAGTCCCGCAACCACTGCTGAGTGACTGCTGAGCTTCTGCTCGTTACAATGGGGGTGGGGTGACGGGTGTGACGGGGCAATAACTGCAGATTCAAACGGCAGCTTAGCCTAGCCTGTTGGTTTGGGCGGGCGGGGCCGCTGCGGGCGCGCGGGCCTGCGGTGAGACAGGGGCCGCGCGGCTGTGCTTCGCAACGACGTCCTCGTCGCGTCGGTCAGCCGGCGGGCCCGACTGTTCGGAGCCATGCATTTGGGGGCTGGGGCGGGCTGCAAAACTAGGCGCCGTCTGCGGACGCCGTAGGTAAGGAGCGAACGGCAAAACCTGCCTGCGCTGAGCAAAACAAAACCCCAACTGACCCACCCCTTTGCCTCGGCGCCGCACGCCCTCCCAGCAAGGGGTGCGGCGGGAGAGGGGGAGGCGGGTTGTGAGCCGTAGGCGCATGCAAGATCCCTTAGTCATTGAGTGGCGAAGGATCCATTTTTGCTGGGGTGCCGCCGCCCCCCCCGACTGGGGCGCCGCAAAGATGCGGTTTGGCAAATGAAACCCCCGAATGCAAATGCGGGCTCAAAAGCGTTGAGGTCAAAGGTAAAAGCAAATCGGAGAGCCGCGCCATGCGCGATGGCTGCGGGCCGTGCCGGCGCCCGACAAAACACTCTGAGCGAGTCCAGGGTTCGGAGTACCGACTGGCAATAATGCAGGCAGCCTCGTCACAGGGGGCCCCGCTGTGCGGGTTCAAGCCCAAAACGTCAACCCGCAGATGGCGGTTGGAATGCGGCACTGTTGCCCCGCGGTGCACCCCCTCCCCAAACCACTGCACATGCGGGCACGAACGGACACCGCCCGCTCACACAGCCCACAGCTGCGGGTGACGGTAGGGCGGCGGCGGCGGCGGCGGCGGCACTGAGGGCGATCCAAAGCCGCCACGTCCGCCGCCAGGGCTGCCCGGCCCCCGTGCCTGCTGCCAGTGCAGCCGCGCCTCTTGGAGCTGCGGGTTGGACGGCGCCGCGTGCTGGGCCAGCGGGCTGCCGCACACGCCGCCGCCGCAGCCGCCAGCACCGCCGCCAACGCTCCCTACTGGCCATCCTGCGCAGGCCGCGAGCGGCAGCGGCCAGGCGGGCGCAGCTGCAGGTGACTGCTGAAGCTGGCAGCGGCCGCTGCTTGGGTATTGCTGCGGCGGCGTGCGCAGCGGCGGCGGCGGGGGCGGCGGCGGCGACCCAACCGGCGCCTGCGGCGGCGGCGAGCCAAAGGGGGGCACGGCCTGCGTTTCGGGCGCCCGCGGCGGCGGTTGCAACGGTGGGGGCGTGCGCGCCGCCCGCAGCTGCGCCAGAGGGGTAATTGGGGCCCTGGTTGTGGGCGTCACAGGCCCGCCCCTGCCGTCGCCACCGCCGCTGCGGCGG